TAGTAGAGTAATATAACCTATCTGAAGGTAAGGATTGAAAGTAAATTTGAAATTATGGCCAACTTAACCTCAATTCTACTCGGTGCACAAAGTACCGCAAATTTTATTGTCGATAATTTTCAAAGTTCATCGTCAGACGATAAGAGGAATATCTCATAAATTCTATTTTCATTTTCGATAATTATCGCATATTTCGCTAATGACATTTTTTACACTTCTTACTTGTATAAGTCTGACATAGGTTAACAGCCAAGCGCCAATATGCATTATTGAATCCGCACTATTTCGGGATAATGGAATTAGCTGAAAGTCGATAATTCCCTATTTTAGAATTTATTTTCGTGAAAAAGGCAATAAATTGTACTATTTTGCGACGTATTAAAAACTGTATCAGAACGCAGAAACAATCTGTCAGCTCATTTCGGAATGCAGCTTGAACAATAAATCTGTCTAGCGATAGCTATTAGCGTTTCGAGCGAAATGAACGTAACGAGAAGGTGTTGAAGCGATTGAAATAGATACATCAAATATGTATACGCTCTGATCAAAAGGCCCGTATAATCTTCATATCCCCTTTTACGCAGTAACTCTAATTATCTAATGCTGTAATAGGGATAGGAACAGAAACAGAAACGTTTTCGGGTTTGGCAGGTTTCGTTACACGGAAGAGAACGATTTCTGCGTGCACTTGACGAGATGGCTAACCCTTTTCTCTTATATGAGAGGAAATTTGGTACATTAATGGATTTCATTATAGTTAATAATGAGGCGCTTCAACAATAGAGGTTAGCCGAAGCGACAGTTCTCATGGCGATAAAATCCACATGCCTATCTTGGACAACGCTGTACGGCACGAAACTACCCCTTTGGTTAAATCAGTCGGTTAAATCAGAGAGAGGAGAGGGAGAGAGGGGCGGGCGCGGCATGATTTTTTTTCTTGCCGAAATGTCTACGACATCGTTTCGCGAATGTAAATTAGATTACGTAGACCCCTGGCGAACTTAAATTAAATTCAATGTGAGTCCAATGTAAAGTTTGATTAAATCGAAGCATCAAGTGACTCGCGGCAATCACCGAGACGAGATAATGTCCATTAAAGGTGGGCTCATTGCCCGATTAGATCGGCGCGATCGCTAGCACGCGTAACTTCTTCGCTGCACGAGCGAAACTACCTATTTCATAACGGCCGATTATATCCGACAGGCTGCACAGATTTGCCGAATTAAGCAATCCGTTGCAGCCTTTCCGCCCGGCGCTCGGAGACGCATTAACCCTTTGTGCGGCACATTTTATCTACCTGACGGATCTCTGTGAAATCTTGTATATCAGTGCTGTTTGGGTCTCTGATTACAAATCCAAAGTCAGATTCAAAATGGCAGATTCAATATTGCTGCCATATAGGGCAGTAAATTAGCGTAAGTCTGAGTAAATGTAAATCAGGTACGCGATATAAAGATTCTTCAAGTCGTTAATTACAGATTTCACGGCAGATTTACAAAATTCAAAATGGTAGATCCAATACAGGCTTCCATACAGGAGTAAAACCATAAAAATATGTATAAATATGCTATAAATATAAGTTACATAGGTTTCATAGGTTATTACGAACTTGATATCAAATTCGAAACAGCTGGTCCTCACCTATAAACCCCATAAAAAACCTCCAAAAACGGGATTCATAAAAATCCCGGAATTACTTCTCCTAAAACTCTTTCATAATAACTTCCTCTTGGCGTCGCACCCAAAGCTAACAATGTGGACGCGAGAGAATATAAAAAACATTAAAAAAAAAATGTAGCACGCGGGAAATTCTAGAAAAAATGTGTTATATTTCGTGAAGACATGTGAAGAGAATATTTGGTGTAAAATGTTCAGCCTACAATCTCTCAAGTGCTTTCCAAGAAATTAAATCTTTTTTCAAAAATCGCTTCTTTTCAACTTTCTTCGTTTACGACTAAATGAAAAATGAACAACTGGATGTAAAAACTATATATTAATATCGGGAAAATGTCTGAAATCACCGCCGATTTTCATTAAACCGTAAACAGTACGTCGTAAAAAAAAATGAAAGAGTAAAAGGCGGTGAGTGTACTTACCGCTTTCGCACAAAGGGTCAGCGGAATGCGGTTGGAGCTTCTACATCAACAGTCATCGCGCGAGAATCACGACGAGCCGCCCTCTCGCCGCGCCCGCGCCACGCCGCGCCGGGCGGCTCTAATTCGATCGAAGCTATCGATTAATCGCGCGCGATCTCGGCGGTAATGCCTTCGCGCCAGTTTTCGGGCAGATTAGCCGCCTCTCTTATTGTTCCTCGCCGCGGCGCGTCTTCCGGTATTCCCGGCCGGAGGCGCTCCATCATCAGTTTTTCGTGCGTTACGCTCGGATGCGCCCTTAATTACCCTCCCTCGTACCTGCGGCGCTTATTACGCCGTGCGCCATAATAGAATGCGGCTCGATAATCCCGAGTCCGCCGCGCGGACTTGCTATCGGCCGAATTACGGCATCGCGCGACTACACGGCAGCTTCAGGATTGCATCCTGCTGCAGGATCCTGGGATCCGGAACGCGCGCGCGCGCCGCCGGCCCATAAATACGGTTTAAGTTATGGCAGCTATCTCGCGCCCGCTTAAGTTTATTTTAACGCTAATTAATGTAGAACCGCGCAAGCCAGCTCGCAAACTCGCCACAGAGTCGCGCTGCTCGAATGTTCAAACGTTTCCCCTCTCCCCCGCCATCTCTCCCTGCCCCTGTCGAGCGTTTCAACGGACTGCTGTCGGAACAAGAAGCAGGAGCCAGGCAGGGAGAGACAGAGGGGGGGAGAGAGAGAGAGAGAGAGAGGGAGAGGGAGAGAAAGAGAGGCGTGGGATATCTCACGATAGCCGAAATGATCGCCGCGCTGCGTATTTACTCGCGGAGAGGTTAATTAGAACTCGAGGACGCGCGCGCGGCCGCTGGCCGTACCGCTGAAGGTCCGCTCTCGCTCGCGGGATAATCCTCCTCCGGCGGCTCGTGTGAATCGATACGTCACACAGGTGTAAATTGCGACGCGACGCGACGCGACGCGCCGAGCGAGCGAGCGAGCGAGCGAGCGCAGGCTGTTTTTATTTTTAATAGAGGCTGTTTGCATGCGTGTTCACGGAGCGGAAGCGCTAAATTCGCGCGATAAGCACGCTACGCGCGTTAACATGCCTATCGATTGCCCCCCCTAATCCCCCTCCTCTCCGCCCCCGGCCGCCTCCTCGGCCTTGCCGAGCGCCCCGCGAGCGCGAGAGCAGGGAAAGACGGCGGCGACGGCGGCGGCAAGATAAAAAAAGAAGGGGAGGGCGACACAGCGCACAGAAGCGCCTCGCAGGAGAAGAAAAAGGGCCGACAAAACGCGAGCGCGCAGGAGGACGCGCGAGCGTAGGGGCAGCAATAGGTGCAATAGGTCATCGCAGGGCGACCGAAGGAGCGGAAGCGGGACGGGAGGTGGCAGAAGGTGGTGGTAGAGCAGCAGCAGCAGCAGCAGCAGCAGCAGCAGCAGGAGGAGGAGGGGGGGAGGGGGAGGAGGAGGAGGAGGACAGGAGAGACCAGGGGAGAACGAGCAGTTCAATGAAAGTCATCGTAAATGGAAGGGCCGGAGCGAAAGGGGGCGGAGGGATCGCCGGCTAGAACGGAGCGTTCCGCCATGGCGACGTCGTGGGAGAAAGACAGCAAGAAAGAGGACGCAGGGAGCTTGCGCAAGCTTCGACCCGCCGCAGCTCCGATCGGAGCGGACGTTAAGCCAGCCACGTTCCGAGTTTTCGTGCACACGGCCAGCCAGTCGACTGGAGCCTAGCTTTGCGGACTGAGCGGACCGCCGCCGCTACCTCCTCGTGCTACGTCCTGACTCGCGGAGTCAGTTCCCCTGGATTCTCTCACTTCCGTCTGTCCTCGCCGCGTGTTGCCCTTGCCGGCTCTCTCGTCTTCTGGCCGATCTCCCTCGGCCGTGGAATGACGCACTGATGACAGCCGCACGCCGCGCCGCTTCCGGCGGCACCGCCAGTGCTCCGGCCGGGCTCCGGCGGCCACCTCGACGAGACACGGACGTGCCGATCGGGGGATGATTGTTCGCGTCGACGAGCGTCCTTCGGCTGTATGTGCGTCAGTGCGCGACTGAGCATCGCCGGGGCGAGTGTGCGCGCTCGGCGGACCGCGAGCTAGACTGCGTCGGCCGCGACCGCGACCGCGACCGCGACGCATCGGCGACGAGGACGACGATGTGAAATCCCCGACTCGCGGCGCGAGGACTCGGGCTACAGGAGAGGCGACCCTCTCGTCGGCAACTCGCTCGGCCCGATGACACGGAGGATGGCCTGCCGGAGGAGAAGCGCGCGGCCGACGGCGCTCAGGTGATTTCGAGGTGACCGCGAGATCCGCGACTACGGACCAGCCGACCAGCGTCCTTCGGGAACCTCCGCATCCTCAGCAGGAGCGAGCGCGAGCGAGAGTGTGTTATGGTAAAGGTGCGTGGGGCTGCACGCGCATGCCGAGACGAGCTTCATCGACGAGTGGAAGCCGCCGATCGCGCGATCGACCGGAGGATCGGCTCGCTGTCCTCGAGGATTTCGTCCTCGGCCCCGGCAGGATCAATCGATCCGCCGACTCCCGCTTCGCGTCTGTGTCCGCGCGCGATTTTCACTCGGCCGAGCTGTGTGGATCGCGAAGAAACGTTCGGAGGGGCAGGAGGGAGGAGGGCTGGCCGAGTTCTTATTTCAATCCACATCGGCGATGCGCTGGCGTGATCGAATTCCCCGCACGGGGAATAGCGAGCGCGTTCTCTCTCGATTGCCGATGCATTCCGCGTGCCGCGGCGCGTTTTTCGCGTCCGGGGTGGTAATACGAAATAATCACGGCCGGCTCGGTGGAATATCGCGGAGGGGTGCAAAAAAGGGGTGGAAAAAAGAATGGAGAAGCGCGCCGACCGCTCGCGATTCCGCTCGCGAGATTCGTTTGGCCCCTCTCTCTCTCTCTCTCTCTCTCTCTCTCTCTCTCTCTCTCTCTCTCTTTGTCGCTCGGCTGGTTGTTTCGCTTCTAAATATGCGGCCGCGTCATCCGGTATGCATGCGCGAGTAATCAACGCGCGATTTAAATTGCTGATACGCTAACTACGGGCGCAGTTGATTCGGCATTTTCGGCATGCGCTGCCTCCGTTCGATTCGCGCGCGCCGGCGGAATCGGAAAATCCGCGCGGCGAGAGAGAAAGAGAGAGAAAGAGAGAGAGAGAGAGAAAGAGAGAGAGAGAGAGAGAGAGAAAGAGCATCGATCGCGTGCGTACGCGCGCGCGCGGCCTCCGGGAGCCTCGGAGTCATCGGCGAAAAACAAAAGCGAGCATTTTCGCCGACCTTGGCCCTTCGGACCGCTCTCGGCGTTTCGGATGACCGGATGCCATCCGCGCGCGCGAGCGAGAAAGCCGACGCGAGTCGCGCGACGACAGAAGGAAAAGCTCACAGCGATGGGAAGCGCACAGAGAGAGAGAGAGAGAGAGGGGGTTAAGCTCAAAGGGGGGTAATGCCGGTGAATGAAAAGGGAGAGGGCGAGCAGAAGGGGGGGGAGAGAAAATTCCGGAGGCAGAGTACTGTTGTCGATGGCGAAGTGAACGCGGATTTAACCAATTATCACCCCCGCTCTCTCGACATGGACGCATGAACGAGGCCCTTCCGGTTACGCTCGACCCATCTGCCGAGCCACGCGGCCTCCCTTATTGTCCTTTGGAGAAGTGATAACACGACGCGCTCGCGTCCCGTCCGCTCGATTATGTGCGTATCGCCGTCGGAGAGCAGCGCGAGCACGGCGGCCGCGCGAAACGAGCAGCGTCATTATCGGAGAGATCTCCCCCCCCCTCGCCCGCGAGCGAGCGCGAATCGCCGATTTCCTCTTTGGCACGCCGCCGAATCGGCCGATCGCGCGCGCTGTCTCTCTCGTCTCCTCGCTCGCTCTCGCTCTTTCCCGCCGAAAAGCTGATTAACGTCCGCGCGCGCAAACAGAGATTTGAATATTCATATTTGTATTTTAATACACGGCGAGTCCGGACAAAAAAGGGAGGGCTTTTGTCCGGATGGAATGAAAGAGCCGCGACCGGGGCGCGTTTTACATGCGGTTTAATCGTTTGATCGCGCGTTTAATCGTCCCGTCCCTCCTCCCCGCCCATCCTCGGGATGGCTTTAGCAGCGAGAGCGTGTTTAACGCGAGTCCGATTCGGCCGAAACGACCGAGTTGTTACTGGGTACCATTGGCGATCTTCGTGTTGCGGCGCGTTTGCATGTGTGCATAGGTGTCCCGGTGAGAAGAGAGGCAGATGGAGATAAGGGAAGAAGAAGCGGAGGTATTTTGACAGCCTCGGTGTTTGTCCCCGGGAATGCCACGAATGCCTGCGTCGGCGGTACTCCTCGGTAGCTGGGGCTGGGGATTTTTCGCCGTACTTCTCCTGCTGCTGGCCACCCCCAGTCCCGCTGCTATTCGCAGAGGTAAGTCTGATCCGGCGATCGCGCGGCTTGCAATTCACGCGGCGCGGCGCGACGGAAACGGATGTTGAGCGCGCGCGCTCGAGTTCATCTCCGCGTCGCGCTGACCAGCTCGTGAATGCGAGAGGTTCGCGTGACATGTTTCACTCGCTCGGCCGGGTCCAGAGCGTTCTGGGAAATCTGCCCCGCGTAGGGCTGCCAGATTTGGAAATTGAAAACTTTCGGCCGCGCTTGCGGAAAGAGAAAAACAAAAATGGAGGTATCAGTTCATGAAAATATGTTTTTTCGAGAGTACGGCGGTCGCGGCGAGGAATATTCAGTAGTTTGGACAAAATTTTTCGGTAGATGGGGAACTGAGTAACTGGCCTGTAAAATCCAGATTGCTCGGCTGGAAAAAGAAAGTGGAAATGTGAATTTCTAAAAATATACTTTTTGAAAAGTGTATGGCGATCGAATATTTTCAGAAGAAATTTGAGGGAATATTTTTAGTACATTGGAGCTTTTTTTATTAGTTGGAGAATCGAATATGTGGCTTGCAAAATACAAATTGTTCGACTGGAAAAAGAAAGTGGAAATGTGAATTTCTAAAAATATACTTCTTGAAAAGTACATGGCGATTGATAAGGAATATTTTTAGTGGATTGGATCTTTTTTATTAGCTGGAGAACTAAATATATATAGTCTGTAAAATATCTAGCTGAAAAAAGAAGCTGGAAACAAGAATTTATAAAAATACACCTTTTATAAAGAGTAAATAGCAATCGATAAGGAATATTTTTAGTAGATTGGACGTCTTTTATTAGCTGGAGAACTGGATATGGCTTGTAAAATGCAGACTGTCTAGCTGAAAAAAAAATAAAAATATGAATTTGTAAAAATATATATTTTTTCAAATATATTAATTGATAAGGAATATTCAACGATCTGGAAATTTTTAATATTAACTGGACAACTTGACGGTAAAATCTAAGCTATCCAGCTGAAAAAAACTGGAAATGTAGATTTTTAAAAATATATTGTTTGAAGAATATTTTAATCGATGAGGAATATTTTAGTATTTTAATCGATGAAGAATAATCTAGATATTTCTTATATAGTAGCCGAATAAATGGACATTGCCTGTAAAATGCAAACTGCTCGCCTGTAAAATGCAACTGCTCGCTGAAAAGAGAGAAATTGGGAGGAATATTTAATATTAAAGAAATACTTGAGAATATTTAATAACCCCGATATCTTAAATATTAGATAGACTTGACAGTAAAATCTGGAGCGCCCAGTTGAAAAATAAACTAGAGGAATATGGTTTATAAAATTATATTTTTCGAAGAATATATCAATCGAGAAGAATTACTGAATAATCTAGATATTTTTATATTTTAACCGGATAACTGGACATTGTCCGTAAAATGCAAACTGCCCGCTGAAAAGAGAAACTTAGAGGAATATTTAATATTAAAGAAATACTCGAGGATATTTAATAATTCCGATATTTTGAATATTAGCCGGACCTGAGTAGAATCTGGAGTGAAAAAAAAAGTTGAAAAAAAATTAGAGAAATATGATTTGCACTGAGAAAAAATTGTATTAAAATTAAATAAATCATTGTTCAAATACGACTGTGAATACATTTATTTAAATTAAGCAATTATTTTCTAAAATTGAAGAAAAAAGTTTACATTCAGAGAAACTCTGTATTTTATTTTAGAAATTAGTCGCTTAATTTAAATAAATTTATTCACAGTTGTATTTGAACAAAGATTTGTATAATTTTAATACAATGTTTTCTCAGTGCGTAAAGATATATTTTTCGAAGAATATCAATATCAATCGAGAAGAATTACCGAATAATCTAGATATTTTTATATATTAACCGGATAATTGGATATTGCCTGTAAAACGTGGATTGCCTGCTGAAAAGAGAGAAAATGGGAGGAATATTTAACATTCAAGAAATATTTCAACATTAGCTAGACAGCGGGACTCGGAGAGAGTGCCCGATTGCAAAATGGAGCGCAGACATCTGACAATCCTAATTCCGCGGCGGTACGACTTCGCATCGCGATCACCCCATTACGATTGATGTCGCGCGCCTTTGGCGCATATAGGCTGTGCGAACATAGCGAGTCCGACACTCGTCGAGTCATACACTCGCTTCCCCGTTTCCAGTTCCAATGCGGCCAATGGGTCCCGCTTTGCCGGAGCATCGGCCATGAGGCCGAGCGGAGCGCGTTATTAATCGCTCCGGCGGAAGCAAGAAAACCCGCACGCTCGTCCCGGGCTTTAATCCTTTGAGGCACGTATTTTTCAGAAAATCCGAATCACATGAAAATTTATATACGCGGGATTTTGCAATCGCCGATTACGAATCCGTTATCAGATTTTCAAAATTCAAGATGACGGATTCAAGATGGCGGCCACAAATATGTAAAATCGCGATAATTTCGGTGACAATGAGTTTTAGACCTCACATTCATAATCAGCGACCTTGAAAGCTAACCAAAGTATAATTTCAGCTAATCATAAAAATTTTATGATAAAAATTTTAAATAAATATAAAAATTTTAAATAAATATAAAAATTTTAAATAAATATAAAAATTGTATGATCCGCCATCTTGGAAAATGAATTTTAGAATTAAGATCTCAGATTCGTAATCAGCGACCTCAAAAACTAATCAGAGTACAATTTTAGCTAATTTAATAGAAATTTTGCCATCTTGAATCCGCCATCTTGGAAAATTAATTTTGGAATTTGGATTCGTAGTTCAAATTCGTAATCAGCGACCCAGAAAACCCCCAAATCTTGATTTTGAGCAAAAAATTCACTCATAGTTTGTGGAAAATGATTTTTTTCTGTAAAAATGTGTATTTTTCACACTTTGTTTATTTATAATAAATAGACAACTTATGCAAAACACTTTTCAACCTTTCATGTATGTTCTCATATCATATAAGAACGCAACTAAAAAACGCAAAAAATCCGACAAGAATCCCTGAAATATGAAATATTTCATGAAAATGTGAAAATAAATAGGTGATAAATATACTTACCACTATGCCTCAAAGGGTTAATTCGCCTTTTAATGAAGATCCATCTCTCTCTCTCTCTCTCTCTCTCTCTCTCTCTCTCTCTCTCTCTCCCTCTCTCTCTTTCTCTCTCTCTCTCTCTCTCTCTCTCTCTCTCTCTCTGGTGCTAGCGCCGGCTACTTGTTCGTCTGGGCTAGCCACCGCCGCAATTATCGCAATCTTATTACGTGGCTAACAGGCCGAATTATAGCCCGGCAGACAAGACGCCACGAATCTTAACCGACGCATTAGGGCGATCTAGTCGCGCTCGCGCGCAGCTATTGGCGGCGCGACAGGGTTGAAGGGCTGATCGTGGAAAGGTGATTTACGGGCGAGAGAGAGGCACCCTCCTGCAAGCCGTCGTTACGAGGCTGCCGCTTTATAAGCGGTATCCAGCAAGCGGGTCGAATATCGATTACACGGCCGAAACTTGTGTCGCGTGTTGTCGTTCCTTACCCTCCCCCGCTGTGCCTCATGGCCTCAATCGTCCCGTTGTTGTCCCTTCTTCGCTCTTTCTCCCTTTATTTGTCCGCTCCGTTGCCCAAGCGGGTCAACGAAAAATCCACGCTGCTGTTAATGTATACCGAGTGCCGTTCTCGAGCGTCGATACCTCGGCAGGCGAGTATGCGGGGTGAAAAACGAGCAAGGAGGGAGATGGAGGGGGGGGCAAAAGAGGCACGTCACGTGATTTTTACTTTGCAACTTTAAGCGGAGTCAACTACAACGGAAGTCGTAAAGTCCGAAAAGTCATAAAGTCGTAAGAAAATTGATCAATCACGATTGATTATTCCTCGGCCGCGAGGAGAATAGTCGACGGCTGCGATTGGTCAATTTTCTTACGACCTCACGACTTTTAGGACTTTGCGACTTCTATCGCAGACCCGCATTGCCCTGCGAGTGGCAAGTCGAAGTTTGCGCTCGAAATGACCGTAGCCGCGAATGCTTTGAGTTACTTTGAGACGTGAGCGTGCGATCGCGTTGAGTCGCTCGGCAATGCTGAAACACGTCGAACGACAAGCTGAAACGAGGAACTAAGGAATAGGGGGACGGAGCACAAGCTATAGCGGGGTAAGAGCCATGGCACACAAACGAACTTAAGCAGTAAGCAAATCGACCAATCACAATCCAAACTGAAGGACACCATTTTTAAACTTACGAGAATAATTAATTGTTATTGGTCAATTTCTTTACTGCTTAAGTTTTTTTATGTGCCATCCACTTAAAGACCATCACACACAAATGAATGTAAGCAGTAAGACGTAAGCAGTAAAGAAACTGATCAATCATAATCAATTATTCTCGTAGGTTTTAAAATGGCGTCCTTAAATTTCGATTGTGATTGGTCGATTTGCTTACTGCTTACGTCTTCCTGCTTAAGTTCATTTGTGTGTGATGGCCTTAATACGTCTGCGGCGGAGGAGAGCCGCCATATTTGTTTCTCCTATTGCGATCCACTTAACTCTTCAATGCATTTGTAGCGTCAAGTAAACCGCAGCCTCAAAATAAAATTTAAGCCGGTGTTTACAGTCGGATCTTATATTTCTAATTGCCTTAAGCTCATTATGCTGTACGGATCGTTTTATTAGCTAGGAAGAATCTAGAAAGAAGCTAGAAAGAGGATAAATTTAAGACGATCTTAAATATGAAACCTGTGTATGAATGTCGCTCGTAAAATTATAAAAAATTACATTATATATTGCTTTACATTTAACATTTTTATTTAGTACTTTTTAATAAATAAAGGCGTAATAAATGACAATATAATGAATCTTTGAACATTTCTAAATGTTTTAGATATTTTATCTTACATAATTCGTTATTGGACACCCTGGCACACATACACTTAACCATTTTGCCATCAAATATTAATTTTCATAATTTATACGCACCTAACCTCTCAGTCACAACATTTCGCAGATATGTGTCTACGTGCAAACTGGTAGAAACCAATATGGCGGAAAGCAATTCTCCCCGCATGCTTGAGTTTACACCCCCTCTGGCCCAAAAAGTGCTCATAGACTTTCCCTCTATTCCTTAGTTCATGGCTGAAAGGAGTGTTCAGCTTATGCGTATCGAAATAACGCACACGATTTTGAGCGCTGTCGTCCGTCGCAACGCTCGACATGGCTCATATCAATGATTCATGCGCGATTCGCAGCAGGAAATACTCAGATGAGATTCGAGGGGCAGTTGGTATTTTCCAGCGATCGCCGGGAAACTCGATGCTACGGCGGCCTGCAGAGGCGGGCCAGATAGTTTGAATATTTTCTGATTCTAATTTGTTGGAACTCTCTCTCTCTCTTTCTCTCTCTCTCTCTCTCTCTCTCTCTCTCTCACTTCCTCTCTCTCACTCCCTCTCTCTTTCTGGAAATACTGCATGGGCCGCCGCGGTGTCGGTGCAACATTTTTCTCTCGCCTTCAGCCTCGAATTCGCCAGCCGGAGTGTTGACATTTCGTAGGATTTACTGTCGGAATCAACTTGATATGTGCACAGGCTCCCCCGCGGAATAATCACGTATAAACTGCAGCGGTAAATTTTTTGCGTCAAAAGAAGTGGGTTTTTCTCTTATCAAAATTGCGTCCGAACGATATTTTCTCGGATCAAAGGGGAGCGAGCTCTCTGCGCGAGCGAAGCTCTGGATGACCAAATAGATAACGAAATGTTCTCTGGTCAATTTCAAGCGGACTTTACTTGAACAGAAATCTAATCCGACGTTCAGTTTCAAAGATATGTTGCGTCGAAAATTGAAGAGTCGCCGTAAATAACGGCTTTCGTCGACATTCTCGGCGGAGAGGAAAATCGTGAGAAATTTTCGTTTGAACTCTTCATTAGATTTTCACTCTTCATTAGAATTTAGGATCAATTTTTCGGAAGGGGTGGGCTAGTTATACATAGTCATATTCCTCTCTCACCGAGCGAGCAAAGAAGTTTCTGTGAAAATTGCGCGCAAAACGCATATTTATAAAGTTAATGCATCGGGAATTAAAAGGAAATAATTGCGACATAAACGCGTAACGGTGCGTGCAATAATATTTATTTAAATTATTAAATCCACACACATACGTGACTTTTATCTGTCGAGCCAGTTGAAAAAAAAGTTGTTTACTCGCGGTTTGTTGACAACAAACAACAACTTTTAACAAAAAAATAGAATATGGATGTCGAATGATACGCAATATTTCAAGAGTTTTTAAACGGATACGCGGGATAGTCCACGGTGTGAAGAATCCGGGATTGCGTTGCTTTATGCGGCGGATATTTTGCGCACCTCCTTTGATTTCTGTTTCCTCTTTAATGTTTGAGATTCATTTACATAAATATTACTGTGCATACATTACGTTAACACCAAAATTGACTCCCTTAATCCCGGCTCGATTTCTTAATCAAGCGTTTTAAGCGCCATATTTATAAGAGCTTTTCTGCTTGCTGGTGAGTGGAACATATCTGCGTATAGTCAGCCTATTTTCTCTTAACACCCTATACATGGATTGTCCTAACAAGTCTCTTCCTACACACTTGGCGAGCGTTTTTTTGAATAGAAATATGTCGCCGCATGAAAAACCCATTTTCTACGGGAAAAACTCTCGAATTCATTCTCGAATTCATCCCGAACGGAGAACTGTCCGCACAAATCTCGACGTTAATCGCACGACTCGTCGTCAGACTGCCCGATTGATCTAGAATCGACTTTTCCACAATGGCGTCGGCAGCGACGGAGTATCCATCGTACTCTCCCGGACGTTCGATAACGAGCCTCGTCGTGTCTTCGCTCTTTTACAACCCGATAGCAATGTTCACGTCCGTTTGAAAATTCCGCACCCGCGGCACCCTAGGGCGCTTCGCCGCTTGATGAGATTATCTCTCCTCATTAATCGACGGGACGCAATTAAGATTAAGATATTGACGCGCTCACGAGTAGCAGAGAGAGAGAGAGAGAGAGAGAGAGAGAGAGAGAGAGAGAGAGAGAGAGAGAGAGAGAGAGAGAGAGAGAGAGAGAGAGAGAGAGAGAGAGAGAGAGAGAGAGAAAGGGGGAGAGGGAGGGGACATTCTGAATGTGCTGTAACCGTCTCCATTTCAGCGGACCGAGGTCACTGCAACAAAACAGTGGACATTTACGAGGATGTGTCGAGCCCGGCGGTGACCGCCGCGAATTGGGGCAAACCCCTGTCGTGCTGGTACCGCTTCCGTGCCTTCCGCGGGACACCCCGGGATTGGATTCTGCGGGTTCGCTTCAAGAAGTTCAAAGTCGGCGTGCTGGAAAACGCGACCACCTGCAGCGGCGGATACCTGCAGGTGAGGCTGCCGATTTCGAGGCTCGCGTCTCTGTTTCGCCCATGTCACCCCCGCTCACCGTCCCTTCTTGCCACCTTCCGCCGCCCCCCCCGTTCCCCCATATGTCCGCGCCTCTATTAATTGAATAGGGAGAATCCGGCCAATTAGCCGAGCGCTGGAATTTAATTTCGGTCCGACAATAGCATTCCTCCAGATGATTCTTTCGATTCAGGTTAGGTACCGCCCGGCGATTGCGGGCTGGAGAGGGGAGAGCCGATGCCGATGGCGCTCGTGTCTCTTTGAATCGCGGGCCGATACGCGCGTGGCAGCCGCGGAATGCGCGTGTTTCGCGTCCACAAGAATCACGCACTCGCGCTCGCCGCTCGCCGATCGGCGGGGGCGCTTCTGAATGCGTTGGAGAGGTTATGTGCGCGAGGGTAGGTGGCGGGGAGCAGGCAGCCGTATCAATGATGCGAATTAGAGCGTCACCGTATGGAGAGACGAATGCGATAAGTGATTCTCCCTCGCTCCGTTTCCCTCCACTTCTGCCTCCAGCTGCCTCCTCGAGCGAGCGAGTGAGCGAGTGAGCGAGCGAGCGCGCGCGCGCGGGGCGCACTCGTCCTGCCACCTCTCTCCCAGTTACTTCGGTATCAGGTATTGATCTTTGTGACGTTGTAAACCTCTCTCCTCTCCTCTCCTTTCTTTTCATTCTCTCGCTCGCTCGCTCGTTCGCTCGCTCTTTCCGCCTCCGCCCGTCGTTTCACCTCCTCACCCCTCCGCGCCATCCTCCTCGACTTTCAAATTTACGCCGATGAAAAAGGTGATGGCGGTATATCTCGGTTTTGCGTTTCCTTCGGATCGTCATAGAATCGCGATCGCGACTGCATGTCTCTTCGAGCTGCATTCTTAAGGATTTCTTTGAACTTTGTTCCCTTCGCGCACAGACCCGCGTTGGTTGTAAACGATGAGGTTCGCGTGGTTGCTCGTCTGCTCTGGAAAACATGTTGCATTCTCCAGCAAGATTCCCTCCTCCGTCTTCCTCTCCCGCGCGCCGAGTGTCCTTTCATCGTGTTCATCGATCGCGTGGGTGCCAACGACGACGACGACGACGACGACGACGACGACGACGACGGTCGTTGTTTCAGATCATAGACGGCAACACAAAGACCGAGGTGAGCAACCGCAAGGACCCGGGCGTCTACTGCGGCGAGTCCGAGCAGCCGCAGACCTTCATATCCGAGACGAGCTTCGTGCGGGTGCTCTTCCACGCGGACAACTTCACGGACCAGACGTACTTCAGCTTCGACTCGCGCGCCGAGCAGCAGTTTGAGGTCTACCTGAGGTACGGCCAGCACCCGGAGCTTTACCCGAACCGTCGCGGTGAGATCGTGCCCGGCAGCTACTGCGAGCGCGTGTTCAGGGATTGCCGGCTGCAGACGTGCTACGTGCAGAGCCCGGCTTACCCGGGCATCTACCCGCGCGCTTTGCACTGCAAGTACCGGCTGAACACACGGCTGCCGTTCATCAAGCTCTACATCGAGAACGAGGAGTTCAACATCGACGGTCAGCGATGCGAGAACATCATGACCTGCCCGATGCGACCCATCAGCTCCGGCTCGGAGCACTGCCCCTACGACTACATCCGCGTCTACGACGGTAAGAACGAGAGCAGCTCGACCATCGGCACCTTCTGCGGTATGGGCAAGTTCCCCTACAGCATCATCGGCACCAGCGAGGACCTCTACGTGGAGTTTGTGTCGTCGCCGGCCGGGCCGCTGCTCAACACCGGCTTCCACTTCAACGTCGGCAACTGGCCGGGCCACGTGGAGACGGCGGGCGTGAAGAACGGCAGCTGCGATTGGCTGCTGAACAGCGAGTCCTTGGTCAGCGGCAACGAGGGCATCTTCTTGTCGGTGGCGCACTGGTACCCGCCGCACACCAGCTGCACCTACCTCCTGCGCGGCCGGCCGGGCGAGATCGCGCGGCTCTACTTCCCCAGCTTCCGTGTCAACCGCATCGAGTCGCCGATCCAGCCGTATGATGGCGACTGCGGCGAGAGCCTGACGCTCTACGACGCCGATTGGCCGGACGACGCGCGCATCATCAAGACCTTCTGCGACACCTTCAGCAAGCCAATGGAGAAGCACGACTTCGTGTCCACGTCGAACGCGCTGTTCGTCCGCTTTGAGAGCAAAACTGGCAGCTACTCCGGCAGCTCGCTCTACTACTGGGCGCACTACGACTTCTTCAACGCGACGCGATTCGGCGAGCCGGTGGTCGGTACCGAGTGCGACGAGATCTTCGCCTCGTGGAAGTCGCGCTCCGGTCGCTTACGCTCGCCTTTGAACACGCTGGTCTACAAGAGACCCGGAGACCCGCCCGCCGACCTCGCCTGCACCTACAGCTTCGTCACGGACAAGCGCCTGTATGCCCGGGTGATCCTCGTCATCGAGTCCGTCTCCTTCAAGGATCACCCGTACGCACAATGCGGCCATTGCTGGGATAGCCGGGTGGACCGGGTGATCATCAGGGAGCCTAGTCCGGACGGGGTTAAGGGTCACTGCTTGTGTCGTTCCAGCAGCAACGGCACCCCGTCGCCCACCAGCTCACCGCCGCCGAGGCCGCCTCTGCTCAGGGTGGTGTCTCGCGGTGAGAGGTTGGACCTCAAGCTCCTGGTGGACGGTGCCCACGCGGCCACGAGCTACTTCAAGGTGTCGGCGCCGCTGTTCGAGGCGAGCTACGAGTTCGCGCACAGCCCTCTCTGCGGCCCAGCCCTGCTGCCGGCCTCCACCGACGGCGAGATCGAGTTCCCGCACTATGAAGCTCTCGGCTACGTCACGCCGCCGAGAACCATCAAGTGCATCTGGGAGCTGCGGGTGAACCGCGAGCGCGACCTCTGGCTGCACTTCGACAAGATCAAGTTCGCGTCGCGCTCCTGCGAGGATGGCAAGCTCGAGATCTTCTTGCCCGGCTCGGCCGAGCCGTACCTCGGCATCTGTGGCGAGAACGTCAGCTACGTGCGGGAGATGCCGATCATCTCGGCGGCGCAGATCGCGCCCGCGACCGAGCAGCATCCAGCGGCGGGCGGCGCCGACGGCATCGACGAGTCGCCGGCGGTGATCGTACAGTTCACCGGTTCCATGGCGCCGGCCAGGGCAGCCTTCAAGATCGCGTGGACCGAGCTGTATCACCTGCCGAGGGACGGTTCCGGCGCGCTCAACACGCAGAAGCTCGAGGACTGCGCCTTCCAGTGTCCCGGCGATGCCGGCTGCATTCCGGCGAGGTTGCTCTGCAACGGTGTCGTCAACTGTCCGAGCCGCGGCCTGCCGACCGGTTTGGCCGTCGGCATCCTCAACGGCACCTTCTACGAACCGGACGACGAGTCGTTGGAGACCTGTGGCGGCCCTATCAACGCCAACGGTGGCGGGTTCACCGGACCTGCCGGCTGGGCCGGTGCTGGCCTCGGTGCCGGCTTGGCTATTCTTCTAGGCTTGGCCTGCTTCATCGCTGTCTGCAGGCTCTGCAGAAGACGATCGCGCTCCAGGGACATCCATGTGCCCTATTAGGGGCCGCGATCGCACCTCTGCCAGAGCGCCTGCGAGTAAGCCCTCGTGGACGTGAGTCATCTGCGATCTTTTGGTGTCGCGGTTGTTCCTCGGGAAGTCGGGATTTTCGTACAGACGTCTGTATTGTAAACTAGATTGCCAACTCGCTTGTGTACCGCACGAAAAAACGGACCCGGGAAAGTACGTATCACATATGAGTAGCATCTGCGCATGCGTGTTGTAAATAGTGTAGAAAAAGAGGTGGCTTGGATATGGCCGATATCTATTCTGAAGGAGAATGTCAGAAAATATTGAGAAATATACATGTATTATATTGCTTGAAATTCAACCAATCAAAGATCACACTACTTATACGACACATGCGCGTAAGTTCTGTGTGTACTTTTCGGAGCCATGTATTTTGGAAGGCAATTTAATAACAATACAGGATGTTTCAGATTACATATCCATCCCTTTTGGGGGAAGGGAAATGGTTTATAACAAAAATTTCGAAAATTTTCATGACTAAGTCGGGTATGTTCTGTCTAATGGTGATTTTCAATTCACGGTACTGATCGGAAGTTGAAAATATCAACGTTAGATAAAGCGTATTCGATTTAGTCATGAGAATTTTCGGGACTTTTGCCAAAAACAATTTCTCTTCATTTTAAAAGAGGTGCTTTGAAACACCCCATATAGAAGTCTGTCTGGATCTTCGGGATAGATCTTCTCTGTGTGCGTGCACGGGAAATGGTTTGGTTCATACTGAAGATCTTTAAATCGGAGAGAATATTAGCTTGAAGAAAATTTTCTGCTGGAATGTGAATGATTCGGGAATTCCGGTTCCAGTTATTGAAATCCGGTTTGAATTATCAAGATTTCCTGTCGAGTTAGGTAGAATTCTAATACTTTCTATAGAAATTTCTGAATCGTTCATGTTCCACCAGAAGACTGGTTCGTTCAACAATGTTCTCTGTGTAATTTTTGCAGAGCGAGTTCGACTTCTTGATCGGTCGGTTTGTCTCGATTTGTCGTCAGTATGATTGTTGTTTTTATTTGTGTATCGATTGACTTAAACCTTAGTACCAAATCACTTTGACTTGAATATTGTTTTCAACTATTTGTTGTCAAGACTAAGCAGAAGCAATTGAAATCCGCTTTCGTGGATGTTACTTTAGTTGTTGTGGCAGTTCATCTCGAATTAGTAAAAACCACGCCGCATTTAACCAACTTTTGTTGTTATTAATAGTTGCAGCGAAATCCGCTAACGTGTCAAAATATCCTAAGTATCTCCGTCTTTCGACTGGTTCTGATAGAGAATGGGTTTTACTGCACCAACGAATCTGTCATGTTCGAATATCAGATTTTATTAGGGACAATCGTGGATAGAAAAGTTGTCTGTAACATGGAAAACTGCATTCGTTGGTAGAACAGTACGACACTTAATTTTCCTTAACATTTTTCAAAACATATCCGACACCCAACAAGAAAACTTGCTCCGATAAGGATTCCTCTGTTAAACTACGTCTGGGAACGCCTCGAAAGTAGGAGCTACTGCTCCTAAAGGCGCAGATTTGCAAAATAAAGGTCTTCAGTAGTAACAACGAATCTTTCTTCCGTGTCGGGCAAATCGAAGAATTCTCATCTTCTCGGAAAACGATCGCGACGACAGGAGCACGCGACGTCCGGATTTCCAAGGCGCCGTGCTGCGGCGCCTTCGGCCAACGGCCGGTCGCACCAACGTCTCTCGACGCTAACTTTCGTCGAACGAATTATCCTGTTCTACCCGCGCGGTAGATAAGGCTGCAATCTCAAAGGGAAGGGGGTCCCCGAAAGCCTGGGCTTACCGAAGCCGCCGGGATCGTTGGTGCGACCGGGTGCCTCAGACTTGCGCGTTGTTTGGGCTTGAAGAGTGATCCGACGGGACGCTCTCGAAGTTCGACGACGAAAGTGCAGGAGACGTCTGTCGGTCCGACAGACTCCGCGCAACGAGTGATTCTCCAATTGTGATGCATCCGGGTTTAACGAACGAGTCGTGTTTGCTCATCAGCCGCGGACGCTCGGCTGCGGATCTTTGCTCTCTGCTGTCCTGATATTTACGTATTGCTGTTTAGCGCGATATCGACACCGATCATATCCGCGTATCGCGTTCCAATCAGCCCTCGCCCTGTCTCTCTTCCATACATCTCGTGGTCAAGACCAGTGGCGCCTTCCTATCCAGATACTTATACAGGGTGTTCGACGATACATACAAAGTTCTCGCGCATGTGTAGATTAGGTCCAGCTGGAGAAAAATTCTTCGTGAAATTTCGAGTTGTTAGATAAGGAAAATTGACGAAAGATCATGCGCAATCTGGATAAAGATATCCAGTGCTTCCGTGTACGTATAGATTAGGTTCAACTAGGGAAAAAGAATTCCTTTACTATCAGCAACCACGTAAAATTTTGAGATATTGATCAAGGAAAATTGGCGAATGATCTTACGCGTGTATTTGTAGGTTAGATGAAGCTGAACAGAGAGATCCTGCACCATTTTGTAAATAGTCATGTCGATTTTTAGTTATTAATTAAAGGATGCATTAAATGGCGCATTCTCGTACGTGGTCATCCGCTAATCTTCTTTAATTCGTGACTCAAAATCTGTAAAATGGTATATAGGATTCTTTTTTTCTAACTTGACATAACCTACAAGCATACGGCAGTTCATTTGCCATATGCGCGTGATTATTCGCCAACTTTCTCTAACTGATATATTTCATACTTTTACATGGTTGTTCGCAAAATGGTAGAGAACGGTTTTCCTTCAGTTTCACCTGACTTACGCGTGCACAGAACATTTATGCGTATCGTCAAACACCCTATGTGTATAAACCACGTCTTCTTGTAGAATGTTTCAAGATAAAATGTGAAGGACAGCTGTACTCCGCTTTCACTACTTACGGGCTCGCTCGTCCAGTTTTCTCGTCTAGCTTTCTTCAATAGAAGCTAGACATGATCGAACGCCCGCATTAACGGGCTATCCTCTTCAAATGAGTCTTTGCAGCCTCTTGCAGAGCGCTCAATCTATGTATATAGGGTGTCTGATGATAACATACTTTCTAAAGTACAATCAGTGTATTCATTACTGAAATAACGGACTTGTAACTGGTGATTCAGTTAGAGAAACAACACTGCAATCGGTGAAATCTCTTTGAAATGGCCAGCTAATGGTAGCGTTATTGATGTTGCTCGTAAACACAGACATCGCATGCAAAGCGCATGCAGAAGCCATTAATTCTCTCACCACGAACACAAAAAGTTGGGTCCATACCGAATTTGTGTACCACAGACTTTTCAGTAAAATTTTGCTTTCCACTGGTCAAGACCAGCGAGGTACAAAACAAAGCGGTAAAGTTGGAATATTCCTGTTGAAAAACTCACTGATTTCCCCCTGAAATACTCTTTTTATTGATTCGATCAAGAATATTTTTATTGCTTCACTTCGAGAGAGATAGAAATACTCGAATTCCGTTGAAGTTAACGAAAAGTTGTGCAATTCAGATTGAATTCTGACAACTCGTGTCGAAATTTCTGTACCGTTCATATTTCACCGGAAAATTGTTTCGTTCGACCAAATATTGCTCTCGGTGCATAAACGCTCTAAAAAAACCCGTATCAGAATTTTCTTAACCTAAAAAAGCTTCGACGAACTTCAGACAATCCAATAATCCAACATTTTTTTTATATAGTCCAATTGTATCAGTCTACGGCGAGACGGACGTTAACGTCAGACACCCTGTACACAGGTCCATGTCCCTACTAGTCGCTGACAGACGACGAAGATCCAACCGAGGCTAAGTGATTCGCCACTGCCGCACAGTGCACCACCATCGATACTGATCGTGTTCGCGCGTTTTCTCTACATACACTGCCATAGAACGTAGATTGGTGGTCCACAAGTAGAGGGACTATATAAGCAATATGGCCGATGCAAATAGAAGAAATGTGTTTTGATTCAATCAATCAGACGTGAATGTCGGACCACCAGGAGGACGGTACATATTTTTCGGGGTCATGTATTGACTTGGAGTTAGCAGTCTAGTTATACTATAGAAGTCCGTGTTCCCCATACGCATCGTGAGAGAAAAGTCGAGGAACTCGTGACGATCGGATCGGGTTATCGCCGATATCGCGCGCTGACACGTGCGCAGACGACGACGTCTTTCTTCGTTTCCCAGCGATGGCGCGAGACATCTCCACGTATCTGGTCACGCGCTTTCATCATCTTATGAACGCGCGGCATTATTACACGCGCATGCGCTATCGTGGGATTGTGTTATTTCCGCGCTGTCTCGTTTCTCTTGCGTTTCACACATCGATATATATATATATATATATACGTATATATAAATATACACATATATAGGGAGAGTTCTGTCGGCAGAACTGTATATCGTACGCTGTATCGGGAGGGTCGGGGCGTAATCATTGAAAGGTTAGAGGAGATCGCTCAAGCTAGGTCGCGTTCGTTCGCTGCGATTATTTTTTGCGACGCACATTAGAATAACGAACGATTAGACGATGGCGACGTCGTGCGCGACACGCGTTTTGTAATTCCCATTTCTTCGTCGTTGTCGAGAGGGAGGGAGGGGGAGGAAGCAGGAGGGCTACTTTCGGAACACCCGTCGTGTGACGTCGGCTGCCCGCCACTTAGCCATTCGTCGCATAAATCGGCGAATCGATCGTCGTAGATTCCGGGATTATAGTCTTTAGCGGTTACTCAAAGTTGTCTCGCTTCGTCAACTGTCTCTCTTTCTCTCTCTTTCTCTCTCCCCTTCCCTCGGGGACTCGCCCGGCGCGAGGGGCGAGATGGAATGAAATTGACTTAAAATACAGATGGGAATCAGAAACGTGATTTCTGACGGGTCGTGACACGCCTTGTCGATTTAACGTCTTGAGCCTCGGCGAGACTTGCTTTGCGCGTCGTGACTGCTGAATCGCACGCAGGTGCGTGTCGCCGATGAGATGTAATCACCACGGATCGGTTCGATGGGAGTGCGGAGGAGGAAGGGGGGGGGAAGGAGATGTGCGCGAAGCTCGCCGATTCGCAAGATGTACGGACTCATAACACCGAATGAGCGTGCCTACTAAATATGCAGCAGTATAATGATGCATCGTGATCGTCGACAGTGCAAACAGTTTGTATATATGTAAGGCGAAGAGGGAGGAAAAGGAGGTTTGTAAAGCCGACCGCTTTTTAGAGGTAACCGGTGCGCTAGGATAAAGAGAAAAAAGAAACGAGAAGGGGGGCAAGCGTAAGGATGAGGAGGAAGGAGGAAAGAAAAAAAGGAGATGAAAAAGGAACGCGTTTCTCTCTCTCTCTCTCTCTCTCTCTCTCTCTCTCTCTCTCTCTCTCTCTCTCTCTCTCTCTCTGTGTGTGTGTGTCTCTGTCTCTGTCTCTGTCTTTGTCTCTCTCTCTCTCTCTCTCTCTCTCTCTCTCTCTCTCTCTCTCTTTGTGTAAGCGACGCCTGTCGCCGACTATCGCAGCGATAAGAGGATCCTGTTAATCCGATATTCGTTGGCTGGCCTCTCGCTCTGCAGAGGGGATATTATAATTAGCAAGAAACAGACTCGGGAACTTGGCGCGCCACCCCCGCGGCTACCGCGTCCGAGGATGTCCGTGTTTGTTTGTATATAGGAAAGCATTTATGTAGGTTTAGCGACAATCTCTCAATAGTGGTTACACACACACACACACACACACACACACACACACCCACACTTACACACGTACACACGTACACAGACGTATACACACGACAGAGCGCGCATTATTAACACGCAGCTATCTTTAATCGACAGTATAACGATTATCTTACTACGATATGTAATTGCGATAATAACAATTATCATATAATTACTATATTTTTTACTAATAAAGAGTATCCTTGGAGTCGAGGGAACAGCTGCGTTTCTCCGTTTCTTCCGTGTTTCCCCCCCCCGTCCCTCCTTTCCGAAAAATTTCACAGGTCGAGCGTGGGAGGCCTCTCGGTACGATAAATTAAGAGACCAGACGAGGCCCGGTCGCGCCGCGATAAAGTAAAAATTACAGAGGAGAGGACATTACGACGTGGTGGAGATTTACGAGTCCGGTCGATGCTTAAGCGCGAGCCAATTAGGCGGAACGCGTTCGTTCCTCGACGCTACTGCTGCCGACGTCGCTGGTGTATGTACACGGTGATGATGATAATTTCTCGCCCGTCGTTGCGGTGTCATTCGCAATTTTCGCGCCCGCAGCTCAATTCGCTCATCTCCACTCACGTGTCTCTCTCGCCGCGACGTGTAATCTGATTTGTTATTCGGCACAGCTCGACCGGGTGATATTACGGTCAGCCGCGAGTATTCGAGTGTTGTCGGTGGTATTGTACGTCGCTTTTGGTAACGTAACGTTATCCATAGAAAAAGGAAAACAGCTCGTCGACTTTATTTTTATCCATTTGTTCGACCCACCTAACAAAAGTCGTGATAAATTAGCGTTATCGTTACGGGAGAACCAACAAATTGTGACAATTAGTTGTAAATTTTGTGACCGTCAATTGGCCGTCGGAAGAACAGGATAGTTTATGGAACATTTTACAGGCGATCTGAGGAATTCTCTCGCAAAAGTATCGTTTTATTTGCAAACTAGAATTTTCATTTCTCGTCTCTGACGTCACGATCCAACATGGCCACCGTGAGTACGCAAGAGCCTCAATGACTCAAAATTTTACGCGAAAGTTTGCACAATGATATCGACGCCAGTACTCGGTTGAGTGGATTCTATTGGGCGAATGCGAAGGTTTTGGTGGCAAAAATGGAAGTAATTTTATTCAAAACGATTTATTGTATCTTCAATCTGGCGGGAGTTAATAGAAAACAATGGCAATCACTCGGTAGAACGAATAAATCGCTTTTAATAAAATTACCTAATCCATTTTCTTGTCACGAAATCCGCCGAAAAATTTTTGCTCTCACCCGATACACGCATACGAATGTTGCTGTGTGGTTTACGGACACCCTATATACATATATTCTTCATACGTAGTTCAAAGTAACGGCAAAACTGACGATTATATCCGTTACCCGAAAAATATAATTGCGTTACTTTCATCGATACTGATGAAAAAGTCGTTGTTAAAAAAAGTCGTAACTGTAAAAGAGAGAATCAACTTGTAAGGTTGTAATGGCGTTACAAGTAATACATTACTTCCTATCCAAAATATCACAAAATGGAAAGCATCTTAAATGTCTGCAGATAAAATTTTTGCTCAATGACGTCACAAGTTGAATATTTATATATTCATACAAAAGCAGCATTGAAAAATTATTTATTATACACTCGAGTAGGACCCGAAAAGGGAGTAAGAATCTTGAAAATGCGCGAGTACTTATTAGTGATGTGCAAATCAAGAATTTTTATGTCGAATCGAATCGAATCATTAAAAAATTTAACATGACTATTAAACATGCAAATAATGATGGAAGATTTTAATATGAAAGGGAATATTGATGTATTGTAATATCCTCTTAAAGTAAAATATATATTTAAATATTTAAAGTAATTTATAATCAAGTTATTAATTATAAGTTAAGTTAATTATAAGTTAAGGGTTCAAACGTGCAGGCCCAGATGGCCCGTTTTGTAGCTGATACACACAAACGATAATATATTTGATTCCTATTCGAATTATTCGGATTCGAATCATAGGGATTCGGGTTCGAATCGAATTGAATTACATTAAATTCGACTCGGTTTGAATTCGAATAGTTCGCACATCTCTAGTACTTATTGGTGCCTCCAATTTTTTTTCGCAACGGATGAGTGGTCGACGTGTTGACACACCGCGTTTCCCTCGCGCGTTAATATGCGCTAGAATTTTCTCTATTGTGCTTTGTTTCGGCGTGGGAAACGTGACGGACAAAAGAACGCGCGACAACCATGCTGGACCTCTTCGCACCTATCAAGTGCCTTCTACGGGAAGAATCCGTCTGCATTGACAATGTGATTTTCAGGTTACATTCGCGTGTAACCGTCCTTCTATTGGTCGTTTGCACCATCCTCGTGACCGCCAAGCAGTACATCGGCGAGCCAATCTCTTGCATGACCGATGGCACCATCGGTATGAATTTTATTAACCTATAACCTCCAACTGCGAGCGTACGCTTCCCTATGTTACGTCACGAAGACAATGCTAAAGCTTCAATCTCGGCTTCAAGCTAAAGAGACGTCACTTTAGAGAATCTTTTCAAATATATATCGTAAATATTTGCAAGTTTCATCATCAATTGCTGGCGGACAGAAACTGTCGATTCGTCGCAGTGACAATGTATATTTTCAATCTCGAGCATCGTCGTTTGCTCAGGGAGGCGAAGCTATCGACAACAAATAGTAATTACTAAGCTTCGACAAAGCCTCAACACTTTCTTGGCCAAAACTCGCGTGACGCGTCGAGCTGTCAAAATGACAGATTAGCTGAATAATCAAGTTATAACGTGCGCGCACACCGAAACTCGCTGCGGAAGGTTAGAAAGATGATGAGTCTCGGTCCAGTGAATGTTGAGGTTTCATTGAAGCTTAATGCACGGTCCACTGATTAAAGTCCGCAACACTTCCCTTCGATGAGTTTTGTAACACATCCTGCGTCCAACACTGGGGAATTCGCTTTCCCATCAGGATATCCATTTTCCTAATCGGAAAATCCGGACACGAAATGCGTTGCAGAGCTCATTGCGAAGAAAGCTGCTGCAACCTTCAATCAGCCGACGCTGATAGTCCCATGTTGCATTGGTCACGGCAACATGCGACGTTCTTCTCGACAGACAAGGATTCCGTGAATGCGTACTGTTGGATCTACAGCACGTTCACAGTGTCTCGACATCTGAACGGCGTTCCTGGCCAGAGTGTCGCGAGTGCTGGCGTAGGACAGGCTCTCCCCGATGATGAAGCCCGTCATCATCGATATTATCAGTGGGTCAGTTGCGCTTAGGACGATTGCGATGCTGGCGGCGAGATGCGTAGCCGATGGATTGAGGTGCAAACGACAGAAATGGAAGGGAGGGGAGGGGAGTAAATTGAAAGCTCGACGTGCTGGAAGATACACGTCGCACATTGGCGGCCAATCAGTATCGAAGTTTCCTTCGAGAAGCATCTTTCAATCTCACGTTCAAACTGCATGACGAAGCCTAAAAACGTTGATAACGTAGGGGATGCTCGTCAACGTCGCGTCAGACATCCTCTTCGTGTTTCCTGGGTCTCAGAATGGTTTGAATAGCTTTTTTGGGGAGTCCACTCGTCGGGCTTTTTTCATCTATTGCGCTTTGAAAAGCACTTCATGGAAAAAGCGGTTGAGAAGTAGTGCATATAAGTTTTATACAGGGTGTACAAAAAGTACCGGGGCAGCGAAGTATCTTGAAAAGTAAGCATTTTAGAAAAAAATGTTTCGGACAAAAGTTGCATAGTTTCAAGGGGGACATAAAATAACTGTATAATTTTGTTTACAGATGGTGCCACTTTCGAGATATTCATTGATTATTACTTTTCTTGAATGGAAATCCTAATTTTTTATTATATCGTTTTCTTCCACCAATTAATTTGAACGACTCTTATCTGAAACATTTTTTTCTAAAATGCTTAGTTTTCGAGATATCTCGTCGTCCCAGTACTTTTTATACACCCTGTATAAATATGCGCTGCTTGGTTTTTATCGTATTTAGCGGAAAACCTAAGCACGCGTGCATGGGAATTTTTTCCATACCTTCCGCATATTTCGAAACTTCGGAATTCAGCTGTAAAAGTACAGTAATGTCTCCTTGGAAATGACCCTCTGAACGGAGCCAATGCTCGGTATGTACGAGCTGCGAAACTTTTGTATCGGACAAATATTTACGCTAACTTACAACTGGGGATATCAATTTTGAAACGTTTCTGTCACATGTCGAGCAATGCTTCGTTTCATTGTCGTCGGTGCTTGCTCTATCTGGACTACTTAAGGGCACCGACTTATTTCTAACTAGATGATTTAAAAAGAGGGTGGACTGGCGAACATAGTTCCGAGAAACGCAGTGCTTAAACCGCTCGGTTAAAAAGATTAAAGTCGCACCAAGATTGATCGAACTCATTTCGGTGTTAATGTAATACATGCAATAATATTTGCTTATATTATCGCAATAATATTTGCTTAAATCCACTCGATCGTTATCCGTGGGGACATTTAAGTAGACATTACTATGTATATTACTTTAATATCGAAACTCATTCTTTTAATTTTGTCCCGGTCTTTTACCCTTAGCCGTTCAACTAAACGCTTTAGGCACCATGTTTATCGGAACTTTCTCGTTTGTTTTGATGAGAAGAAAGGTGTAATCAGTCCATCCCTTCTGAAACATCTTGTATATTCCCTTCACCTGCATCTTGAAAAGTATCATCTTACGACGTTAGTACTGCATCTCGACGTTAGTGCTGCATCAGGATTCTTCTGTAATCAGAAGTGCTAAGAAGAATTTACACACTTCATATCTTATCCTCATCCAACTAATTTAAAAACCATCAAGACTCAAAACCAATCGTTACGCAAGCTCCCAGTAGATGCGTAAACGCGTTCTGATTGCTCCGCCGAGAGAGGGTATTTTGTCAGAAAAATTTCAAGAATAGGCCGTCCCCTTAAAGTCCAGCCACCCTGAATTCGAGCGAGGCTCTTACCGACTCCGACGGGGCCACGCGCAGTGAATTTCCTCCGCGGGGAATAACGTCGACTCGAAAAATTCCTCGAGGATGAACCCTTCGATTGTTTTCCGATGGGGCGCGCTGCAAAATGGAGAAGCGCGCCGGGGAGAAATGCCGGGGACGCAGCTACACGCACGCCTGAATCGGTCGATCGTATAAGTTTTCATATCGCGAATGCACACACCCACACACACTCGCGCGGCCGACGTACGCGGGCTGCATGATAACGACTGCTGCGCCTCGTCCACACGGCCAGAGGGCGCGCGCGCGCGCGTCGCGCGAGCGTGAATGAAATCGGCACATGGACACGCGGATGCGCAAAGAGCGCGCGTGTGTGCGAAGGAAGCGGCCGCGAGGGGACGAAAGGCGGAGAAGAGCGCCACCGGCAGAGGTGGAAATGGAGAGATCGTAGATCCGCCGTTACCCACATCGTCCTGTATCGCAATTCAAGCCGTAGCCATCGCTAAAAGCCGGGCTCTCTTCTCTTTGCCCTTTGCCCTCACTGATGGAGGCGTTTCGCGAGATATTAGGGCGGCCGATCGAGTTGTAGCCGTCGTGCCGATTCCTCCTGCTTTGCGCTTTCACGCGGAGGCGATGCTTTTCACTCGCTATTCCGTTAATAATTTTTGTAATTTTTTCGACATCTTCTTGCGGCGCCACGTAACATGCCTCCCGAAATTCGTGCTGACAGTATTGACAGTATTGACAGTGCTGCTATTGAAAGAAGCGTATCGGTTCTTTCAGCATTTGCAGCATCGTGATTAGTGATTAGCAGAGTAGTATAACCTATCTGAATGAAAAGATTGGAAGAGAGTTTGGAATTATGGCTAACCTAACCCCGTGCAACAGAACAAGTTGGAGCAATATTGCTGCAACGTTGCTGTAACATTGCAACATTGTTCCAATGTTACAACAACGTTTTTTTCAGCTTTGTGTGCTGTATGGGTTAACCTCAGACAGCACAGAAAATTGTGATAACATTGCAGCAACGTTGCTGCAATTTTTGTGCTGCATGAAAATACCAATTCTACTTGATGCACAAAGAATCGCAAATTTTATTAAAGATAATTTTCAAAGTTCATCATCAGACGATAAAAATATATTTTATATATTTCATAAGTTTTATTTTCACGTCGTCAGTTATCGTGACGACGATACTTTTTACACTTCTCATTTGCAAAAGTCTGATATAAGTTGACAACCAAGCGCCATTATTGGACCTGCGTTACCTCGGGATAATGTGTGGAATTTCTAGAACCTATTTTTGTGAGGAAGGTAGTAAATCTTATTATCTTGTAGCACGCTGAAAAATATATCGGAACGCGAAAATAGCACCGTCAGCGCACTTCGGGATGCAGTCGTAACGCAGCTGTGCAACAATGTTTACTGATAGCATGCGGAGTTACGAAATGAGCGCGCTATTTCGTCGCCGCGGTCATCTTGATCAGTGACGTCACAGGCGAAGAAATGCACGCTCGATATTCTCGCGAGTTGCGCGTTGAAATTCAAAGGGACGCGTCCGTAAAGTGACAGCTGCGACCGCTCGAGCGGATTTCGATTGGACAATAAATAGCCGTAAAGAGCCAACGCGATGCAATCGAGCGGTTGAAAAGTGGGCCACGCGTGACGTTAACATCTCCAGGGATGCATTTGTTAAAGTCACGGGGAGCTGATTGAACGCTAAAGTGATACAAACATGACACGTGTCACAGCAGATGACGACGCAGCCCGTTTCGTCATTGTGAATGTACCCTCGCAAGGAAATTTATCCGCGGGAGCAAATCTACAAAGGGATTTCGCCGTATCTTCGCCGGCGGTGCTTGAATTAGCTGAGGAAAGTTCCCGGCATACCTAAACGCACACACGCGTCAGCGTTCTTGAAAAGCTTAACTTCGTGGCTGTTTATTGATCATTAGAGCGGAACGTTTTCGGAGCATCTTACTTACAGATATGCTCCGTCGATCGCAAGCGCCCTTTCACACCTTTGAACCCCGGCGTGCTTTGGCAACGTTCTCTCGCTCCTCGCGCGATCGACAATGAAAACGACCGCCGCGAGGAAGGCGAAGAGCTTTATGCTCCTGACGGAAGCGAGAAGACGCGCGCTCTCAAGATCCCCGCAAAGTACGGCGAAATAAAAAGATGCGAAGGGACACCGAGCCGCCGTCGAGCGAGCAGATTTGTCAAACGGTCAAATAGATGCCTTCCTCCCCGCAGAGTCCCGCTGACGCGCGACCTGCCCTAACCTACTTTTGACGTGCGACCTGTCCTTAACCTATCTTTTCGCCATGTTAACTTCAAGCGTTGTTTCCCAATAGAGCGGTGGAAAAGCGTTTGGACTGTTTCGCGACCGTCGTTTCTCGTCGACTTGATCATTCATTTAAAAAAGTATCTCCCGCCGCAACTTGCAGCGTGCATTTCTCGTCTCTGACGTCAGAGAAATGAAAATGGCCGCGGCGGCCGTAGGCCTTAAAATCCACACGGCAAGTCGGAGTAAGATCTGGACCGGTACGGATAGGTCTGCTTCGTCCTCGGCTTGCAGGCGATCCTGTTTTATGTGCCGCGCGCGTTATGGGGCGTCTGGGAGAGAGGCACCGTGGGCTCGCTCTCGCGAGACCTCGCGTCCCCGTTCCTGCGAGACGTCTGGACCGCGGAGAGGAAGCAGCAGCTTGTGGACTACTTCACCAGGACGCATCTGCACGGTCACAATTTCTACGCTCTCCGTTTCCTCGCATGCGAACTGCTGAACTTCTTAAATTCGGTGAGTGCGACTCTCCCTCCCTTCTCCTCCCACCCCCCACCCATCTCTTTCGCGAGCGACAAAATGACTCGCGAGGAGGATCCTTCCGAGAGGATCAGCGCGGCCGCTGTTAATACTTACAGTCAGTCAGCCGAGATTGTGACGTCCGAGGCGAAGAAATTGCCCGGAAATAAACGTGAATAATTAATTCCGCTTTGATAAGCCGGGAGAGAGGGAGAGAGGGAGGGAGAGAGAGAGAGTGAGGGAGAGAGAGAGAGAGAGAGAGAGAGAGAGAGAGAGAGAGAGAGAGAGAGAGAGAGAGAGAGAGAGAGAGAGAGAGAGAGAGAGAGAGAGAGAGAGAGAGAGAGAGAGAGAGAGAGAGAGGGACAGAGGGAGGGAGGGAGAGAGAGAGAGGGGGGAGAGGGAGAGAGGGAGAGAGAGGGAGATGGAGGGAGAGAGATGGAGAGAGGGGGGAGAGGGGAGGGAGAGGGGGAGAGATGGGGAGAGAGGGGGGAGAGGGGATAGATGGGGCTATATGGGGAGATGGGGGATGGGGAGGATAGGGGAGGGGTGATGGAGAGGGAGGGGTGATGGAGAGGGAGGGAGGGAGAGGGGGGTATATGGGGAGAGGGGGGAGGGGAGAGGGGAAGAGAGGGAGAGGGGGGAGAGGGGAGGGGGAGAGAGAGAGAGAGAGAGAGAGAGAGAGAGAGAGAGAGAGAGAGAGAGAGAGAGAGAGAGAGAGAGAGAGAGAGAGAGAGAGAGAGAGAGAGAGAGCGAGAGAGAGAGAGAGTGAAGGGTGAACATGGTTGAAACTTTGTTGCAAGTGCGGCACACACACACACATACGCACATGGATACGTGTACGATGTATATGTATACATGGCATATCGCGCAGAAATACTCGTCGAGGGACCTCAATATAAAATACAGTCACTTTATCGCGGTACTTCTCGTCCCGCAAAGACGGAAAAACCGACTTCGCCTTCCCTTCTTTCTTTTTTTTTTTTTTCAAATAAAAAAACCGACGATTTCTCTTCTTTCATCAAAGTCGGCGGTCTGCTCTATTTCCTTTTTTCTTTCGCATAAAGTACCGACAGCTTCCTCCAGGTGTTTGCGCGGAACCGGCGATTTGCCGGGCTTTCTACGCATAAAAAGCGACAATTTCTTCCGCTTTCACGCAAAAACCGACAATTTTCTCGATTTTTTCGACTTTGCGCACGAAACTCGTCCTTTCGCGCAAAAACCAGCGGTTTCTTCGCTTTTTATGCCAGTCGTTTGAAAAGTGCCGTCGTTCCCTCGCCCGATCATGTTCCTCCGGAAGATGCGCTGGGCGAGATCGCTAATCTCGGCGCGGCTTTTTATCGTGCGAGACAGATGGGGCAGATATATCTGCTGGACGTGTTCCTGGAGGGGCAATTCAGGCGATACGGGCCCTTAGTGAGCGCGTTCGCCCTGGAGGAGAACCCTTACGACCGGGTCGACCCGATGGCGCGGCTGTTCCCGAAGATGACCAAGTGCACGATTCACAGCTTCGGGCCGGCGGGCTCCGTGCAGACCCACGACGCGCTCTGCGTGTTGCCGTTGAACGTGGTGAATGAGAAGATCTTCGTCGTGCTGTGGTTCTGGCTGGTGTTCCTCGCGGCCGCCAGCCTCCTCGCAGTGGTGTACAGGTGAGCGCTGGACCGCGTGGACCATCGACTGCGGGATCTTCCGGCGACCTGCGACGTTTAAAGCCCGTATCAGACAATGGATTGGGATTGAGATTGAATTGAAATTTGACCAATTGGAAAAAAGAAAATAATCCCAAATATAGTAAACTTAGCCCTGATTGGTTAAATTTCAATTCAATATTTAATCCCAATCCGTAGTCTGACACGGGCTTAAGAGGCGCGAGTCTTTACGACGCCATTTTCCGTCGTGGTTCCCTAAATGAAAAAATTGGCATCAAGGAACAAGACGGGTTTACGCGGCATTAAAGCCTCTCTGGCTCCTCGGCGACGCCGGAAGTGCTTCTTTGCAGTCTGCTCTTAAAGCTTAAATTTGTAATTCAGGATCTTGCACTACTTTTTTTTCCTTTATTATTTACCGTATCTCATCGATCTTGATGTCCCCTTCATCTGCGTCGCTTTTTTCTTTTACACCAAAAGGTTCCTTACAGAGTAAGTAGATGAACAATGGACAGATATTAGGGGTATGCAAAAGTTTCTAAGGCAATGTTTCTTATTAATATTATTACAAATGACGTAGTATCCTTAATCAAAATATTTTCCGACATTATCTATTACTTTTTGCCGTCTTTCAGGCAAAAGATGGATAAAAGAAGTCTTTGCTCTCAGAATGAATGAAGTTATCGATGAACTGTTGCGCTTCCTCAACGTTGCGAAATTGTGAAATCAGAAAAGCTATGCCGCATAGAACGAAATAAATGAAAATCCGATGGGACAATATCTGGAGAATATGCCGGGTGTGATAGGACTTCCCATTGCGATTCCATCAAAGTTTCCTGGATCGTCAATGCGACATGGGATTGTCATGCAGAAGAACCACTTTTGTTTTGCTTTGCCGCAAAATATGGCCGTTTCTCGCTCAATTGCTTATTCAACTGCCTCGATTGTCGGCTGTATAATTCCGCGGTGATAGTCTGTGATGATTTAAACAGTTCATAATACAGCACCCCTCGCATGTCCCACCAGCTACACAGAAGAACCTTATGACCATGGATATTTCGTTTTGTCTGTGACGTAGAGAGTTCTCTGGGATTCACCCACGACCTTTTGCGATTGGGATTATCATAACGAATTCATTTCTCGTCTCCGGTCACAATTCGATACAGGAAAGACTGTGTTTGTGTTGATTGAGCAGCGAAAGGCAAATGGTGATTCCGACGAATGGCGTTCTCGAATAATTCATGGGGAACTCATTTTCCTTCCTTCAACATTTTCCCCATCTCACGCAAGCGTCGAATTACTGTGCTCTGACTAACATGTAACCTTTCTACACTCGACTGAGTCGGATCTTTTTGCAATAACGCTTCCAGGTCGTTCGAACTCATCTCTTGCGGTCGCCCGGCACGCTCCTTGTCTTTCAAGTGAAAATCGCCATTTTTAAAGCAGCGAAACCATTCACGACGTGAACTTTCAGCTATCGTTCCCTCACCACAAGTTTCGCAAACGATTCTGGTTGTTTCGGCAACTGTTTCGCGTTGATAAAATAAAAAAGCATACAATGGCGAATATGCGTTTCGTCGACTTCCATCTTCATATGAATTAAAACTGTTTACGTCGACGAATATGACTTGTTATGCATCAGTTTCTATGCAGGTCGATCAATACTGACATAATCTAACAAAAATGCGTCGCAACTTTCATATAAATAATTCACAGTGTCACCTATACGTGAACGATGGAAACTTTTGCATACCCCTATATAATAAATTGTAGGCAGATATAAAGTACGTTGAAACGAAAGATCCGTCCATAAAGTGACATTCGTCATCGGTTTGGCAAATCTGTAAATATTCTCTTTGCTCCGCTAATCGAGAACAACAGCAAAATTAACGTAGCTAAAAAGTAGGCCACACGTCATGCTGACTTTACGGCCGTGCTGCGAAAATACTAGTCGAAATGGCCGAAATCGAGTTGAACGTTAAACGGACTCATTTCCCGGGTTGTACACAACGAACTAATTGCCCCTAATTTTTTCGGCAAAATTTGCATGTCCCTTTATTCTCCTGTTTGCGCGCAACAAGCCGAAAATTTAGCTCAATGAGGCGATCGTAAAGCTGACCCGGCACGTTACTGCGCGTATTTACCGCCGGGTTTGCTTAACCTCCCGACCAGAAGGAAAGAATTATTCGCGTAACGCGAATTACATGTTCTACCAACCTTTCGGCAGTTGAACGAACATCTGTACCATGCATGGAACTGCTTTTCCAGTTTCGTTAATCTTTCATCGTCAGTTAAATTTTTCCTATTTCAGATCCTTATGCCAAGTTGCCGATTACTTCTTCCTTTTTTTTTTAATTTTCGGTCTGCGCAATGAAACTCGCGTAACCCTGAGCGTTCGATCTTTTCTTCCTGATCTCTTCCAAACGAAACGAAATATATCACCCAAACAAAAGAATTCTATTCGTAAAATGATTTTTCTCACAGTCTCGTATTCTAAACGAAGCCTTAGGGACTCCTCTTTCGATAAAGCGATCAAAGTGAACCATTCGTCTAAAATTTGTTAGATATTATTCCAACTGTTTTCCTCTTATTTCAAGAGGATTTCCTCTTGTATCAATTAATTTCCCTCTTATATGAAGAGGAATATGTTGATTTGAATGTCGACTTCTTTCGTTTAGTCATGCTCTACCTCCAGACATAAACGGAGAAATAATCATATGCTCATGGGTCAGAATATTTGGAACGCTTTTTGAAAAAGATATATATATTGCTGTAACATATAACGAAGATAATTTACCCATATTTGGTCAAATACTGTTTATAATCTATTGCAAGAAATTGAATATATTCTTTCTTTTAACTACGTTTCATACGATTGGTTATGACAAACATCTTTGTAGCTATAAAGTCCACGACAAAAATGATTGAAAATTTGTTTGTTATGATGATCTTATTTCATTCGTGCTTACTTATTGTAGAACTGGAGCCAGAAGTACATATATATATATATATATCAACTTTTGGAAATTTCATACCATCAAATTAACAAAAGTAGTAACTTAATAGAATAAAAAAGTCTAGGTTAGGTAAACATTTAAAAAATTACCAAATTTTCCTTAAATATCTCAAAAAATCATAAGCAAATAAAAAAATGTTTCAGACAAAAGTTGTTCAAATTAATTGGTAAAAAAAGATGATATAATAAAAAATTGAGGTTTCCACTTGAAGAAATTATGCTGATTTTTATCAGACCTTAAATACATGTTTCAAGGTCAAACCAAGGGCATTATATGTTCCCCTTTAAACCATACAACTTTTATTTAAAACATTTTTCTGTAAAACTGCACATTTTCGAAATATTTGCCTGTTAAGATTAAAAAACTCACCCTATGTATGTATATATATATATATATATTACTTTTCGTTATATACATTATAATAATTTTTTCAAATTAACCAGTATAACCAGTAAGAATAAAGTACAGTAAGAATAAATAATAATCCTCTTAAAAAAAAGATTAAATAGTCTGTGTATAAGAAGAAATTTATATTAAAATCAATAAGATTTGCATTATACACACAACATATAATCCCTCTAACTTTAAGAATAATGTTTATAATATTTTCCTCTTAATCTTAAAGGAATCCTCTTGAGGCCATATATAAGAATAAAATCCTTTAAAATTTAGATGATTCCGCTTGTACCGAAATTACTTTTTCTTGGGTGTATAATCGACGGTCAAAATAATATTAGTCGTATGTATGCCGGTATGAAAGTAGCAGGATACTTTATCCTCCCGATCTCAAGCCTTCCCGCCGGAGAGAAGGCTTTCTCCAAAATCTCCAGAGATGTATCTCTGCATGATTTTATCTATTTCTCCTCTCATTTATCTCTCCTTCTCCTTCTCCTCCGTATTTATTGCCCGAGGGAAAGGAGCGCTTCCGGAGTAGTTGACAAATTTGCTCGTCGGTCGGAAGCGCCACTTTGTGGACACATCTCTCGATTTCGGCGCACTCTGCAATTTCGGGCAATTTCGGGCGAGTGTCGTCATCAGTCAAGGTGGACCGCGGCGGGGGCGTTGAGCCTTGACTGAAAAGTGCGATCGCCAGGCGCGACTGACGCTTGCGGATCCTGCTTGCAGGATCATAGTCTTCTCGCAGTCCTGGACGAGGGTGTACCTGCTACGCGGTGCGGCTCGCGTCCTCCGAAGATCTAAGGCCGAGCGTGTCGTACGGGTGTTCCACTTCGGCGATTGGTTCCTGCTGCAGCAACTCGCAGAGAACGTCAATCCGCTCGTGTACCAGGAGCTGGTTAACGAGATAGCGAAAGCGTTCGCGACGAAGAGTTTCACGAACTTAGCCTAGATCGTCTCGATCTTGCCTAAGTAGTATTACTCGGAACTCAATTTACGGAACTCCGAATGCTCCCGCAGAGCGCAAACACTCAACTGGGCACTCTCGGATTGAACATCCGGCTGTCAGGAAAGAAAGGGAAACAGGAAACAGAGAGAAGGATCAGATTCATGTCGAGAAAGACCTGTAACCGTTAAGTTTTCAATAAAGGATTCAAGCTTGAGAAAGAGCGGTCTTTATTGATCAGGACCTTATCGCGGACTTGGGGCGGATGCTAAATATGTCCTTCTAATTTCCAATTCCAAGTTCCGATTTTCTCGTATGAGCGGCGCGTGTGACGTGGCTGCAGTTGAGGAATCAGAGAGACGAAAGGGATTGTGTAAAATTATCCAAAATTACAAATAATTGTCAAAATTGTAAGCAATAATTAGTTGATTAGTTGATCACTTGATGTAACTTTTATCTAGTTTTCTTTAAATGCACTAACGTCAACTTACTGATTTTTGTCATCATTCAGCAATATTAAAATCACCGCGCAACGCTTGAAATGTAGGACGAGAAAGATAAAAAGTAATGCCAGTGACATTTTTTCTCCTTTCTCAGCAGCGTGTTCTTTTTTTTATGGAATCGTAAGGACAAAACGGTCGATATTTCCTCATAAAAGATCTTTCAATCGCTTTATTTAAATTTAACATACGATAAGTGAATAAAGTGAATAAAAAAACGTGCAATTGCTTTGCGCGTTTAACTATCATAATTAATTAATAAGTAGATTAATGAAATTTCAAATTAATTTTTGATTGAATTAATTTTCGTTTAGATAACTTTTTGCTCGATTAAATTAATCTTATATCCAATTTCAAATTTATAACTCAGCTAACAAAATGTATTAATTCATCCAATCCCGATAATTATGATGTACATATGAATTATATATTATTGCATGTTAAATTAATTTTATAGGTCTCTAACTTTAAATTTAACTCAGCCAACAAAATGTATTAATTCACTCCTGATAATTATAACATATATACCGATATAAATTATGTATATATAATGAACATATTAAATTAACCTTATATTTGTAACGGGTCTTTATGAGTCTCTAAATTAAATTAAAAAATTAAATTAAATTAACCTAAATTAAATTAAAAAATTAAATTAAATTTGAGTTCAGCTAATGCAATATATTAATTCATCGAAAACATCTTGGTAATTATAACAGATATAAATTATTATACAGGGTGTTCGGGATCTTTTGGAAACGGAAAATTGTGAAGATTAATCAGATGAAACTGAGAAGAAAAGTCAAGTACTATTTTGCAAAAATCGCAATAGTTATTAAGTTGTTGACTGAATGACTGAAAATCTAAAGGCCTATTTAATTGATAACTTGAAAATTTGTACTTATTTGTATTTATTTACAAAACGGTAAAAAAAAATGATATGCAATATGAGGAATATAATAATCAACAAACTACTTCTATACAAAATTGAAGGAATTTGCACAATTATGGAATTCAAAATAATAGCACAATTATTGCACAAAAAAGTAACTGAAAAGTAACGACTCGTTACTTTCTAAATAACTACAATTGTAATATGTTATTTTCGAAGGTCAGTAACTCGTAACTGTAACTGGTTACTCTTTCAGTGAAAGAAAAACTGTAACTGGGTACTTTTACAAAGTAACTTTCTCAACCCTGCTAATATCTCAAGACCGAGTCATTCGGTAAAGTGCGATAATTAACACTGAACTAATTCGACCGACAAACAGCCGCTTAATTTGCCCGCTAACGGTATAATATGTCTATCGCACGGACAATTGCTGTTAATAATTGCTTAAACAAGCCTTGTTCTTCCCGAGCAGCTCAGGTAATCGATACAACCGTCATAGCAAGCGTTACAGTACAACTGTTGCGATTGTTCGACTAAAACAACCGGACCTGATTCATCGCTAGCTGCAAGTCTACCAAATTCTCCGTCGAGGCGCGAGTCGCCGGGAGCTGCGGGAGTCGTCGCGGTCGGTCGAATTTCTTGCCGGCACCGCGAGAGCGCGAGCGAGCCGCTGCGCGGCACAATGCGAGCGGAGCAGCTTCACGCCGGCGTGGATCTTTTGTTCATCCAGCGGCGTTCAATTGTCCCGAAACAGAAGCGGCACGGAGACACCGCTCTTTCTCTTTCTCTCCCTCTCACTCCCCCCCCCTCTCTCTCTCTCTCTCTCTCTCTCTCTCTCTCTTTCTCTCTCTCTTCCGCGGGACACATCTCCATGGGAACGCGAGCGAGCTTGATTCAGCAAAATTACCGGAGTTGCGATTCTTAGGGTTAGGGATTTTGCGGGAATTGTATCGAGTCTCGTGGCACCGAACGTCCCTTCTTGACTTCATCGACTCCAGGCATCATCGCTTTCGCAGCCCGGACGAACCCAGGCTCGCATTTCCGCGCTGAGGAGGAACACCGTCGCCGACGCTCGGACGTGGTGTCTTCCGGTATAGGCGAGCCCAGTTGCGGCGTTTGCAGTTCCAGCTGAGAGGGAGCCGAAGGGACCAGCGACATGCGTGAGATAGCGCACCTGCAGGCCGGCCAATGCGGCAATCAGATTGGAGCGAAGGTATACTCTGGTCCTCTTCTTCCGCAACTGATCGCCAGCGCGTCGGCAATCTGAGCATTACCATATTAATTGAGAGACAACGCCAATCAGGCGAATTGTCGTGAAAAAGTGAAATCATCGCGACCCTGCAGTCGTTAGGTAAACGTGTCAATGCAGCGTAAAGGTTACTCGAGAATTGCCCGTAATTACGAGACACGGTTGTCCGAGCAAATTAAATCGCGAAAAGCTGATATCGTCGCGATTAGATAATGGCTAGGCGGACTTGGTCGGACTTAACGGTTGGGTGAGCATTGCTATTGATTAAGAAAACAAGGAGGAGATATCGACTGACCAAATTGTCGTGGAGAATTGAGGTCACGTCTAAAAAATCGCTAGATAAACGTATCAGTTTGGGATCAAGATTATCAGAGCATTGCTGATGATTAAAAAACGGAGTTGCGGGAGCAAATTATCACGCGAAAAACTGGGAACATGATTAGATAATCGCTAGATGAGCTTATCAATCGTGGCGTGAGCATTACTATAAATAAAAAAAAAAAGAGAGAGAAGAGATACCGACTGACCAAATAGTCGTGAAAAGTTGAGATCGTCACGATTGAAAGATCACTAGATAAACGCATAGATAGGTAATGTGAGAGCATTTTGCTGCTAGTGGAATGACAAACTCGACCGGGCAAATTATCGCGTAAAACTGAAATCGTCGCGACTACATAATCGCTAAATAAACGTATCAGTTTATTAGCATAAAGGTTACACGAGTATTGCTGTGAATTAGAAGGCACAATCAACCGAGTGAATTATCATGAAAATAGCCTGGTAATCGCGATTGCAGTATACTCTCGCGGTCAAGTAACCAAATAATCGCGTTACGCGAAAGCATTCCCTAATGAAAAATTTCTATTGTTCTATCTATCGGAAAAAAAGGAAAAAAGAAAGAGAAAGCAGTGATCAAATCTTCAATGAAACATTTCTATCGAGATTTCCGAGAAATTTCCTATATGGAATCTATTTCATATGATATCTCAGTTGAAATCTTTTTTTTACAATTGGCAGCCCTGCTGAAAGATTTCTATCGAGATTTAGAGTGAGATTTCCTAAAAATTTCCTGCATAAGATCTCAATTATTTCATACGATATCTCAACTGAGAATCGGAAATCACATTTCAGATCTCAATAGAAATTTTTCCAGCGGGGCTGCCAATCGTTGGAAAAAAAGGAAAAAGGGAAAGAGAAAGCAATGGTCAAGTCTCTAATGAAAAATTTCTATTGAGATTTAAAGTGAGATTTCCGAGAGATTTCCTATATATGAAATCTACATTATTTCATACAATATCTCAGTTGAAATCTTTTTTTATATTTGGTAGCCCTGCTGAAAAATTTCTATCGAGATTCAGAGTGAGATTCCCTAAAAATTTCCTGCATAAGATCTCAATTATTTCATACGATATCTCAACAGAGAATCGGAAATCATATTTCAGATTTCGATAGAAATTTTTCCAGCGGCGCTGCCAATCGTTGGAAAAAAAAAAAAGAGAGAAAAAAGGAAAAGAGAAGGGAGCGAGCAAGTGATCGCGGCGCGAATTGAAATCGCCCCGGCGACCTCGGGCTTCCACGTCGCAGGACACGCGAGAGAATAACCCTCGTGTTCCCGCAGCGACGACGAGGGTTGCCGTGTCGAGCACAACGCGAGCAATTCTCAGCGGCGTTGAGCTCGCCGGGGGAACGCGCCGGGAACCCCGGGCGATTTACGGCCGAGCGGAGCGCCGCCTCACGTTCTTTACGGGCGATTACAGTTTTGGGAAGTGATCTCGGACGAGCACGGGATCGACCCCACGGGCACATACCACGGCGACTCGGACCTCCAGCTGGAGCGAATAAATGTCTACTACAACGAGGCGACCGGCGGCAAGTACGTGCCGCGCGCGATCTTGGTCGACCTCGAGCCCGGGACGATGGACGCGGTACGGTCCGGGCCGTTCGGCCAGATCTTCCGGCCGGACAACTTCGTGTTTGGCCAGAGCGGCGCAGGCAACAACTGGGCCAAGGGCCACTATACCGAGGGCGCCGAGCTGGTCGACTCCGTCCTGGACGTGGTGCGCAAGGAAGCCGAGAGCTGCGACTGCCTGCAAGGCTTCCAGCTCACACACTCGTTGGGAGGCGGCACCGGCGCCGGTATGGGCACCCTGCTCATCTCCAAGATTCGCGAGGAGTACCCCGACAGGATCATGATGACCTTCAGCGTGGTGCCGTCGCCGAAGGTACGTGGCGGAGCTCGCCTCGCGGTCTTGGCTTTCCTTTGGCTGTTTCTGAATGTTTCAAGTGTTCCTCTTGAGACAGCTGCGCGGACCGAGGGAGATTGGGGAGATTAACGCGACAATGGAGGAGCCGAAGGCGTTCTCATTGAAGGAGAGGGAACATTCCTGGTTCTCGCGAAGCGAATTCGGCTCTGGGATTATTTATAAGCTTTACCTGTGTTTCTGGTAACTTGCAAATGCAATGACTCGGTGCTCGTAATTATTTATCACCCGTGAGGAAAATCCCAAGTCCCAAGAGCCAGGAATTTCGTTTCCTTCGGCGG